AGATGGACCAAATGCCACTGAACCAGCCGTTCTCACCATGTAGTTCAAGGCACATCCTGGGGCTCCTCCATGGCAAGTGTTGCACGAGCACAAGGCAAGGAAGATGCTAGACTGCACCCTGGGCCAGTTCAGGACCAAGTCCCTGGAGCCAAGGCTGCATGGTCTTCTCCACCCATTTCACACCATGAGAGCTCCCACAGTAGCAGTCCAATGTAGCGCTTAGTGCCAACTGACAAGATTTCTTACCGTTACATAGAGTAGAATTTTCCTTCTTTTATCTTTAAAGGAACCCTGAACTTTCTACACAAAAACGTAGGTTTGAAGAATGTTATTTTCATTGCTAATCCCAGTGCTCAAAGCTAGGAAAGGTCAGATTTACGGCTGCTGCATAACCATACTAGCGACCTCTTCTTTATCCTGCTGTTGCTGTGATGTGATCACATACTTTTTTTTTTTTTTTCCCATAAACCCATGCCTCTTTCAGGATTTCTGTTGCAAAACAGAAAGTTAATATTCCTAGGTGAATGTATTATAGACCCATATTCTCCTAAATATTCTATGTGTGTTAAATTAGACATTTGCCGTCCTTCGGCCACAACGGCATGCTAGTGAAGTTTCTCATTTTCTTTCTCTTTTTGTTAGTTTTAAAAAACGAATTGGAAAACGTTATTCAGTGCAAGCGGCTTATTAAACCCAAAACAATCAAGGCAATGCCCCAGGAGTCACAGTTCTACAAGGAACTAAAGGTAACCTTACCACAACTTTATTGTGGGCTGGAGGTAAAAGATGAGTAATCTGCTTAGTTTGTGCTGAGTCCTGCCCTGACAAGGGGGTCGGGAGCATTTGAGGGAAAGTGGCCTTTTATTCCCTTCTGGCAGTGTCTCATACTATAAGCTGCGGCATGGGATGGACTTTTCAATTTCTGCATCTCCTGCTTTTGCTTCACAGGCAAATAGGCTGGAGTGGATGAGGAACAGGTAGCCCCATGGTTGCCCATCATAAGTACTTTGGAATAATAGCAATTTTGGAGCATATATGAATTTGTAATAATTTCCTCTACCCTCAGACAGAAGGGAAGATAGCATAGAGAATCACAGAATCATTTAGGTTGGAAAAGATCAAGTCCAACCATTAACCCAGGACTGCCAAGTCCACCACTAAACCATGTCCCCACGGGCCACCTCTACATGTCTTGTAATTACCTCTGGGGATGGTGACTCCCCCACTTCCCTGGGCAGCCTGTTCCAGTGCTTGACAACCCTTTCAGTGAAGAAATTTTTCGTAATATCCAATCTAAACCTCCCCTGGAGCAACTTGAGGCTGTTTCCTCTCATCCTATCGCCGGTTACTTGGGAAAAGAGACCACCCAAGAAACATCATCCAAGGTCATGCCTAAGTTGTGAGTATAGGTTGATCTAAGATGATTCCGCCCATGCTAGTGGCAGAACAAGATGCGTTGGAGGACACAACGAAGAGGCAGCTGAACAGGCTGCTTCAAAATTAAGAAATTTTGTTTCAATAGTTAAGTTTCTAAGACCCTGTTTCTGCCTCCTGAAGAACTGGGGACTGGGAGTGTTTGCTTCACATGCAAAAAGGCTAGACTGTGCCAAATGTGGGTGGAAATTAGGACCTTATGATGCATGTCTAGTTCTGTCAATTTTAATAGATTTAGGTAGTGTCATTGGATGATACAGTAAAAAATTCTCTAACATTGATGTTTCTTTTTTTTTTCTTTGATGTCTTAATACTTGCAAGGAAATGTGTGTGCTTGATGTATGCTTATCTTTTGTGAAATGTGAAATTTTTGTGACATGAAAATTTTGACTTGAATTATCTTGTTTTCACTGCTGTTTAATTCCTACTTTAATATTATGCTCCTATACCAAATTAAGAAGTTTTATTTTATTACAGGATTTAATTCAGAAATATGAAGGGGATCTATCCCAGCTGTCAAAAAGATGTGATGAAATGAAGAAGCTTTATAGCAACATACTGGTACGTATCATATTAAAATGCAATGAAAATAAATCTACATTTCTTTAGAAAAAAATAGGGAGAGGGGAGAAAGAAGTGCAAAAAGTTCCCATACTTCCACTTGCTTTATAGTTATACTGTCCACAGAAACTGAAAAAATAAAAAATCACATCTAGCAGTGGCGGAATGTTTTGAATGAAAATCTGGCTTTTATTTTTCTTGAGGTCTTACAGCCCAATTTTTAGAGGGTTCGTGGCCCAAATATCAAAAAGAAAAGTAGATGTTCAGCAACTTTATAAATTCAATGAGTTTAACTGTTGAATGTTTTCAACATGTTGCAGAAACCATGTTACAGAAACCGGCACGTTTTCTGGTTCGTCCCAGCAATCGTGTCTCTGGCTGGTGGGCAGCTGCAAATCTTCTGTTACTTGGGCTGAGGGTTTTTTCCTAGTGAGAAGCTTATAGTCCAGGGCATTGATTTAGCTACTGTTATTCGAGTGAAAGAGACACCAAGATAGAGATGTTAGTAGTAGCACAGATCTAAAAGGGAGCAGAGCAGAAAGGAAGCTCCATGAGCAGAAGATTTCTGATAAAGAAACTGTCTGTTCTGGTTTGTTCCCATTATATTCACCCATGCTTGCACTGGAGAAGCACCTAATTTTCTCAATCATTTTTTCCGCTGAACAGAACCAACCCATCTATGTCCAATACACTAGAAAATGTTTTTTGGGTCAGAGGGTCATACCGGAAGGAATGATAAAAGCTCCATGCTGCAATTTTTAACAACATTGCATGTAGATTTCACGTTTACTACAGTGTTCTTGGAGCGTGATAGGAATTCAGGAGGCCTCTGCTGTGGTAGCAGTATTCTCTGGCAGAACCGTCACCCTAGGAGGTTGTAAGGAAAGGGACAGATTTGCTGAAATGCACTGCTAATCTCCGAAACTGGAATAACTTCCTGGTCCTGGGATTAGGACACAGCTTTAAGTGGTGGGGGGGTTTTTTCCTTTTTTTTTTTTTTTTTTTTTAATGAAGGGGAGGTGGATAAGCCTAATGATAAGCAAATGTTACACAGAAGATGCAGCCAGGAAGACGTTGAGGACCTATCTGAACAGACATTGAAGATAAGCAAGATATTTTACTAAAAATACCATTGTACCAATGTGCAAGCGTTTCTTTGTGTCTCTTGCAGCCTTTCACAACTGGGAAAAATGATTCAGTGTAGGGTAACAAGCCAAATTTGTATGGTGGCAAAAGAACTAGGCAAAGAACTCAGCCCCAAGCCTACAAAAAGGGTAGAAGGACTGGGATAAAGCAAGAAGATAAAGAAGGTGGGAAAATAGTGTAAATGAGAGAATTAACAATGGAGTTACATGAGTGGAAATGGTTGAAAAGTATTCATCAAATTCCAAAAGTGGGGACACTTTTGCTGTAAAACCTTTGGCGGACACTTCTTGCGTGAGGTACGGAAGAATTTGACCCATTTTAGGTTAAAGTCATCTTCCGAAGGAGTATGTGTCATGCGGCCGGTCCTGCTTGCAGAGCTGGGTCATGCCCAGCGGGTGCTGGATGTGCCCTCCTGCACGTGCACGCTGTCGCACTCCTCCTGCACGGACGTCGTTTCCCTCCAGCTGTGTACGTTCAGCCAGGAGGCATTGCACGTATGCATCTGCAGCGCAGCAGCACGTGGGAGGCTCTTTGCTTTCCTTTCTTGTGTTGGAAACTCTCATCTGAGACTCTTATTTGCATCTGAAGAGGATTTCATTTTCCGTGCAGCTAGAAGTTTCCTCAAGTTTTAACGCAGCTGCTTTTTGTGGTGTGTGTCCCCCCGCCTTCTCCCTTATTCTCTAAAGTTAGGCATTTGATATATTTCTCTCACTTAGAACGTTTTTTTTTCTTCTTCTTCTGAATAGTGTTATTGCTAGGCAGATCTTTTTGCATATTTATAAAGCAGCAAAGATATAAAGCAAATATAAAATAGGATGGGTGATCAAAGACCAGGCTATCATCTCAACAGCACCAGGAAGGAATAGTCCAGCTTACCTGGGGGAATATCTGATCTGGAAACATGTTGTAGGTAGCCATGGAAATCATGTTGCACATAAAACAAAAATCCACAGGCCTACTTTTATGATTTTATATTCTGCTTATAAAATCAATAATGACCTTGGCATGTGACACTTCTATGAAATGAACAATAAATTGGGGATAACTGCCTGTGGTATAGCTGTGGGTTATCAACTTCTCACAGATGGTCATTAGCTCCAGGAAATGCCTCTCTCATTACTGTTAAACTGATGGCACACCATGGGTGAGTGGCGAGGCATGCCAAAGATCAAGGGCTCCGAGCACCCAGGAGGTGCAATTAGGAGCACAACAGGCAAAACTATTAATCAGGTGTCACTGGGTAATGTTAAAGTTTTTGCGACTGGATTATACGTGAGTGGTTTCTTTTACTGTGTTTCTGCTTTCCAGGCAGAGGGTTTGCTCCTAAGGACAAACGTGTTAGGTGACGTCCAGGTGAACATGTTTAGATGACAGAGACCTGCCCAAACCTTTCCGTGTATTTCAGTTGCAATCTGAAATTCTGAACTACAACCGCATTGCTGCTCAGCCTTGGGAGAGCCCTACCCCCCAATTACAGAGCAGCTCTCGATTACAGCCAAGATGAGAACTTGCAGCAACACAAGATGCCTTTTTAAACTTTTTGATGAAGCCTTTGGAGCATGTTCTCTGTTCTGCTCAGTCAGAAAGCCGATGCAGGCAGGGTTATGTTCTTTAACTCATTGATCCCATTAAGGAGAAGTCTTTGAAAGTGATGACAAACCTCTTGAATTAAACCTTAGCAACAGATTTAATATCAAAAATCCTTTCCTATCCTAGAACTGGAGAACATATGTGGAAGTGATTTTAGTTAATGCAGGAATCGCTCTGCTAGTACTGAACTTTGTAGTATGACTGCCTTTCACCTCTGGTTTTATAGCAGAGCAGACATGATGCCAATATTGTTCACATCTTTTTCAAAAACTTTCCATCTGTTCAGCTTTTTCAGGTGAAGGAAAGAAGAGAACAGGGAAAGGTGGCTCTTTGATCAATTACTTTTTCTCCCAAAAATGTGTGCTTCCCTATGAATATTTTTATTTGTTTGCAATGCAAAATGCCAGAAAAGGAAAATGTTTTGGCTTGAACGTGCTGCTACCTTGCCCACCATGGAACGTAAACCTTTTCCCTCATGTCCACATTTTCTTTTATGAATGGGTTCATCTAACAAACTGCAGAGCCAGGAACCTTCATGATTTACTGATTTTTCTCCTCTTCAGCTGGAGATCAATAGTCCAGGCAGAGAGACCAGGTTAGTGAGGGAATTCAGTGACAGCTCCCAGGGCCGCTTTTACTTGGGATGTTTTGGATCTCAGCTGCCTGGAGATTTTAGCCAGCTCTAAAGTTTTCTAATTATTATTATTATTATTATTACATTTATTAAAGGTATTTAACTTTTCTCTTGCTCTTTTAAATTCATTAAGATCCTGGGCATGGTTTAGGTTATTGTGATATACTAATGTTAAATATTCTTCTCTTTCAAATTGACAGGTAAAATTTGGGGAGCCGCAAGACCTGGACTCTCAGGAGCTCTTTGGATGGATATCTTCATTCATTAGTGAGTTTAGGAAGGTCTGTGCTGAAGTCATGCCACAAGGACAAGACAAATCTTATAAAGAGGTGAGGGAAAGAAAAGTCTAGGAAACAATGTTTAAGTTAATTGGTTTCAAAGTTTCTCTACTAATAACTAGCACATAGACAGTATATAGTCGGAACAGAAGTATACCTTGATTGCGAGAGATATTCAATTTATAATCTGTAATTTGTAAGTGGTATTTGTCCTGTAGGATCACAGATCACTTATGAGCCTCTCCCTCATTTTTTATGGATGTAAGTGCTTTTGTACTTTAAGATCCCTGTATATTTAGAAAGGACACACTTTTGACTTTTTATAATTTCTCTTTTTACTGTTTTCCTTTGATACCCGGAGTTTTAACTGTTACTTTCAATGAATACGTGCCTGTATGGTGATCTAATTTTTAATTATTTTTGCTGTAGTTTTCTAAATAATATTTTACAAGTTTTATAATGAAACGGGGAGATGTTACCTACAGAGGAAAATATTTAGCAAAAATTCTTGTTTGTCTTTCTTCTATTAAAGCATTACAGCCTTAGAATGTAATGGAGAAAGTGTCTGGCTCGGTGCTTTCTGGTTTTCTTTTTTTCTTTGTTTTTTTTTCTTCCCCCAAAGTAATACAATAAAACAGTGCTTTTAATGGCTAATGTCATGTATTCAGGTGAATTACTATAGAATTCAATAAGTATTTACATTGGCAGGAAGAGAAAAATATCAGAGAAGCAAAATAAAAATGTGTCATGAGGCATCTTAGTAATGGATATTGGAGGTAATTATCCATGGTTTTCAAAAGAGAAAATACTTCCGTTGCATTTGTTGGCTTTTACATATTTTTAATTAAAATAATTATCTGGAGCTCAAATATACGAGAAGAAAAGGAGGCCTATAAATGCAAAGACAAAATGGATGTGTTTAACATTGAAAGCAGAAAGTAGTTCTAAAAGGTCATTGATAAAGTTTGGCATTTTCTCTACCAGTTTTGCAAACAGTGTTGTTTGAGAAAAAAGTGTATTACCTGACTGATTTCGGTCTGCCTGCCCAGGTCCACAGTGTTTGGGCTTTGACAGAAATGCTGGACACTCTCCCTGACTTCACTGCTAACGGGAGTTAGGGACGAGCCCTCCGAAAGGCACTTACATCTAAAAATTCCGTGATCCCAACCCTCTCTCCTCTGGCATATAACATTTCTCTATAGCCAGCGTTTCATTTGCTGTTCCAGATGTGACCACTGCCGAACATCTGGGTATTTAGAGAAAGGGCCAGTAAAGAGCCTGGGCACCTACCAGCGCGGTGCTGCAGTACGTAGATTTTGAGTGCAGATCATGTCAGACAGCAAAGGACAATCACCAGGAATCCAGAGACACTTGGACACTGTCTGGAAAGCGGAGATAAAAGAAGCCCAAGATTTTTTTTCTTCTCCTGGCCTCAGTACTTTGAAGAGCATCGCAGGCTGCAGTTCCTGGGAGCTTACAGCTTCTGATGTGCCACGACGGGCAGCACACCCCTATGTGAAAAGGCAGACAAGCGTTCCGGCAGCCGATGGGCCCGTCACCAAAGGCAAGAGCTTCGTTTCACATCAACCTCGATAAATCTGCTGAGGGAAGGGCGTGCAGCTGAAGCCCTGCCCCCTCACGGGTGCTCCTGTCGGGATGCCGAATCTGGTCCCGAGGGCAGCTGACCACGGCTGCTGGTTCAAAGAAGTGAGCAGGGATCATAAGCGCTCTCTCAAAATGATAGTTCCCACCTCAATTTTAAGGAGTCACCGAGGAAGTGGAATCCCGCCCTGAAGGATTCAAAGCCTTATAATCCTCCTCTGAAGGGGTGCTCCGGCCAAAAGCTGTGCTGAGCGGGCAGCGCGTCGTTCCTCACCCGTGAGCGAGAGCTCCAGGGAAACGTCTTCAACGGGGGGCAGCTGGCGTTAGGCACGTGCGCTGATGAGCAAAGCAGCAACCGCTCCTCCGGCCCTGCGAGGAGCCGCCCTGGCACCAGCTCTGAACGCCAACGGGGCTCGCTGCCCAACTGCTCCGCCGTCAACCCATCCCTCGTCTTAGAGGATGTCTAGAAAGGTCTTTGAGGAAGAGGCTGAACCGACTGTATTTAGCATGCGTAATATCACCTTCCAGGCACCTAGCTATCACGTGCAGGAGCTGTCTCGCGGGAGGTGGAGGATGCCTGAACTGGAGCTCTGCATTGCAGCAGCAGCGAAGCACCCGGTGGGTCCCCTCGGCTTCGTACCGCCAGCGCTGCTGCCAGCCGTAAGCTCTTGCACATCTGCACTAACAGAGAGCAGCATTTTGGCTTCTCAACAGTCTTGTCAGGACTATGCTTCCGGTTAAGAACACGCAGTTGTGTTTCTCAGAGGCAAAAGGAATAAAATAAATAAATAAAAAAAATAGCAAAATTAGTACCCCAATACTTATTTTACAGAAAATTATTTACCGAAGCAAATAAAGGGGTTTAATTTTATGGAAAACATATTGGGTGTATTTGCTTCAAGTCAGCATCAGTGACATCTGGTTGACACCGAAGTCAGTGGCATCTATCTACGTATCAGGAGCTACAGCTTACATGACTCATTTCTCATGGGAAGAGGAAAATTAAATTCCTTTTTAATTTCTTGCATCTCTATACCACAATGCCCTATACACGCGTGCATGTGCGCTGTAAACAACCCTCGGAGTTTTTGATGTGTGTCGTTACTGCTCCAAAATCTGAACCATCTTCATTTATATGTGAATCATGTAAGATAATCCTGAGTACAAGTGCCATTTCCATGGTATCAAGATCCCTGCATCCCTGAACAGCATTCGTGATGGTCATGATAAGTTTCATGTTTTTCTACCATTACCTTAGCTCAGGAGTCCTGGGAAGTCTCTTTTAACGGAATAGTTTTTCTTTTTTTTTTTTTTTTTCATGACTCACTTTTTTCCCCCCTAGTCTTTTTTCTCTATTATTATATCTAACAGCTTGTACTTGTTTTATAGCTCAGCTGGCATGGCCTCTTCCAATTAAAAATATATTCTACACAGTAGTCGATATCTGTGTCTTTGTGTGAATATCCTGGAGCATTAATTTAAAAAATTAATGTCCAAATACCTTCTTGGCAAGAAGTTCTAGCCCCTTCAGAGAGCGCGAAGCTTTCCTACGGAGCGGGAGCTTACTGAGGAGACACGTTTCAATTTTCTCAAACAAGCTATTTTGTCAGTGCCTGTGAGTTTCAGAGACCTCCTGCTTTACATGTAAAAATAAATAAATAGACCTTGTTCCCTACCTCATTCTTTTTCCCCCAAGTGTTATTTTGTATAAGACTGGGTTTTTCAAGTCTCTTCGAGTCAACCGTATTACTAAGTTTTAGTGGTATAAAGAATAATAGTTGCTACGCCTCAACATTTATTTGGAATTATATAGACAAGCTCTAAGTCTCCATGTGGATAATGTCTGCGGAATCTTTTCTTAGCAGCTGACAGTTTTATCCTGAAAACCTGCAGGATAAACCTGCAAACCTGACATAAAAGCCAAAGCGCCGGGTGAGCCTTCTGCTTGTGGAAACTGATACAACTGGGAGCACTCCGACACGTAGCAACCTGCAAGAACTGTAGTATTTTTACATTTGGGTTATTTGTTTCTCTACAAAACCCACAAAGCTGATATTTGGCATGTTAGGAAATACGAAAGCTTAACGATGACATTATATATAAGTAGTTCTGCTCAGTAAAATCAGTCCCAATACTCAGCTGTGTGCAGTAAGGCAGCGGGTCAAATGCTGTTCTGCTTTTTTCACGACAGCTCAGCTGTGTCAGAACTGCTTGCTCCAGACGGAAATAGAGATCTCTTTTGAAAGTTTCTTTCCTTAAAATGCACACTACTGGTAGTACGTGCAGCAAGAAAAGGAAAGATCATTTCTGGATGTCATGTTAAACGTTAGTTGACTCCAGCAAAGATGTGATGGGAGAAGCCCCGTGCTGCGGGATTGCAGCGCCCCGCAGAAATCTCTGACTTCGCCCGCCTGCCCAGTGTCTCTGCGGATTCAAATCTGCCCCGAGAAACGCTGTACGAAGTGGAGCTCGTATAGGCACGGGTCATGGAACCGACCTGAGCTCCCAGCGAGGCCGGTGTTACAGGTGTGCCAGCACTCACAAGGGCTTTCTAAGAATTCACGGATTGAAATACAAATTTCTTCCCCCAGAGGCAGAAATTTCCCAGAGTTTCCTCAAACCAAAAATGTAAAGAGCTGAGACTATCCAACACTAGACTCAGTGGAAAAAAGTTTAACTTCCATAAATGGACAATTATATCCTGGGACAGTGGCTGAACTCCGCTTTCCAGTTTTCCTTTTTTTTTTTTTCCTTTCCTATTTGAACTGCCAGACGACCAGGCAGAGCGCGCCTGCTAATTTGTATAAATGAACAGTAAAGCAAGAATAAAAACTGTGGTCACTTGGAAAGTGTTCTATGCATAAAAGCTTTGAAGTCACTTATGTATGCTGGTCTTCTAGTTTGAATTAATACCTTTCACATACATACACCAATTGTAGGAGAAGAAAAAAAATTGTGTTAGACAAAGTGAATAAAAACATGGGGTCTCTAAAAGGGAACCTGTTGGGCACTCACTGTACAACAGCTAAAGCCTGAAAGTATTCTTAGAAAATACTCACTCCTGTGCTTAAGAAGTTGCTGCTAATGGCGACTCAGAAGAACCACAAACAAATTTCAAGCTGCTCGCCTTAAAGAAGAATATATTAAAAAATTCAAACTGAGGGGCTGCTTTGACGAAGTGCTGAGGTGCTCTGACTCAAACAGGGACTCAAAAGGCTCTTGGTGAGATCCTTCCCTGCATCGCTCACTGAAGTCTTGCTGTGGATATTCATAAAACCAAGTTTTCATTCCCTGATTTGAAAGGCATTTTCAGACCGCCAAAATGCTCAATTATTAAGTTTTTCTCACCAAACTGAATGCAAATACTCATTTCACTGTTGCTGCTCACTACCCAAGTAGAGTGTACCAAAAGTCGATCCATCTACTTTATTCCCAGAGCCCCAAAGAAA